TAATATAAAATGTTATAGATAATATAAAAATGTGCATTTATATCACTTCTGCATCATCCAATATCAACATCACAACATTAAAGACATCAGACAAATGATATATTAATCGTTATTCAATACAAGCAGTTGTACCTTCTATAATTTTAAGAACTTGGAACGGTCGTTCCATTTTTAGAGCCAATCGCAGCGCAGCTTGAAGCTCTTCAGCCTTCAGTAAATTGGCCAACTTTTGCTCCTCAAACACGAGCCGTTCTTGTTCCTGTGCAACTCGCGCTTTCCTCTCTTCAGTTACATCCCTCCAAATAACTAGCAATGAGTCGCTACCTCCACTGATGATGTGTTTTTCATCTTTAGCAACTATTCAAGAAGACATTACATATGTATTTATAACAATATCAATTGTATGACAAAATATTCTCGCGCGCGTGGATCAGATATAGACTCACCCACAAGGGTCCAAACGTGACTCTCGTGTTGGTCTAAAGTAGACACGCACTCGGACGTTTTGATATTCCATAATTTCAAAAGACCGTCTCCGCCTGACGTAATTAGCTGCATACCGTGCGACAGAAACTCTCCTCTTAAGACAGAGGATTCGTGCCCTTCAAAGGTCTGCAATAAGAACAAGAATCAAGTTATAATAAAATTTACAAGTGCAAAATTTATTTCTCTTCTTTTACCTTCAGACAATTGAGTTCTGTCAAGGACCATAATTTCATTGTACAATCGGCGGATGTTGTTAAGAGTACTTGATCAACTGGCGAGAACCGAACGCACCATACGCCTCTTCGATGACCATGAAACACCCCGAGCAATTGCAAATCCTCAGCAGACCATAGCTATAAATACAATTATTATATTATTTTTAAAATGTCATAAATATAATCTTAAAATCGTTTATGCATATGTAAGCAAGTTTGTTGCAATAATACCTTAGCAGTCTTATCTTGTGACGCTGTAGCAATCAGTTTATCATTCGGCGAAATGGTTACGCAATTCATCTCTTTTTGATGTGCCAATATCGTGTGGCTCGTGTTTAATGACAAATCTTGCTCTGTAAATATCATTAATTATCTCTTATTTATCTTATCCTTTATTTTACACACATATACACATATGTACATATATATATATATATTTTTTTTTTCTTTTTAACATACCATGTGATTCAAGATTGTTGGGTAATTCCCATAGCTTTAGGCATGAATCTTGAGCAACAGTTGTAAAGAATTTAGTCGATATTTGAGATATAGCAACAGAACTGATTGATGCTGTATGCCTAATGGCATGTCCAATGCAAGACATTCTTGTTGTCTCTTTATCAAATAGCCATACACGAACACTATTATCCTAAAAATAATAATTTGTATATATAAAAGTGTCAGTTATATTATTATTATTATTATTATCATTAAAGATTGATACCTTAGCTGAAGATATGAGCAAATTTACATTCGCCGGAGTCGTAGCTAAGGCCAAAACGCTATCACTATGCCCACATAATAATTGACAATTCATAGATGCAATATCGTAAAGTTTTATATCGCAACTGTTAGTCGCGAGCGCGATGTGACTGTCATTAGCTCCAAGATACACAATGTCTAGAATTTCGTCGCTGTAACCTGTCAACTGCCACGATTCAGATGTATTAATATCTGTACAAAATTATTTTAAATAGAATTTATGATGTGACACCAACCTGCTTCTTGCATTCGAACAAATCCAATGAATGGATGATAATATTATGATCGACAGATACCACAGCAAAAATATTATGGGTGCTGTTGTAAAGTAAATGGGTAATCGATAAACTCCCTTGTTCTTTAGCTGGTGATACTAAAGAGTTATCTTGCGTATAAATCAACTTGCCTGCCGTCATTTCCCAGATTTTAACAACTCCTAAAAAAACTTTTATGTTAAATTGCATGCTCTTTTATTACTCATGTATTGATGTGTTAAATTGTACTTGAATCGTTAGCATACCTTTCTCACCAGCCGAAGCAACGTATATATTGTCGCTTTTATGTAACTTAATAAATCCTGGCAAAGACTTGTGTGGTATTATAAATGCTCCTTCTATTACTTCATATACTGGTAAAACGCGTATTGAGGTTCCAGATGATATGTCCCACAAGATCAGTACTTTATCTCTTCCAGAACTATGCATATTAGACTATTAGTTTTATAATAATTTTACTTGCATAATATGTTGCAAAGTTTTTTTCTTACCTAACTAAATATTTTCCATTTTCGTGGAAACTAAGAGACGTAACTTTACTAAAATGTTCAGATAAATACATCTTTTGCTGTCCAGTATTGATATCCCAAGCATGAATAATCCCTTTACTGTCACCAGCGCCAAAAAGAAGTTGTTTTGTAACATCTGGATGAAATTCCAATACACTAAATGTAATAAAAAAATTGATATTAATTCTGATTATTAAACATTTTGAAATGTAGCATTATACATATTTCATATAAATATCTAATTACCTAGTTACTCCTTGCAGTCCTTTAAAATGATGTGTGCAAGCATGATGTTGCAAATTCCACAATCTGACAGCACTATCACTTCCACCAGATGCCATTAAGGCATTATCATTTGAGAAAATTATTTGTGTTACAGGTCCTTTATGGAGAGATTTCCATAATTTTGTCAATTTATTAGCTGTAAATGATAAGAAAAATAAAATAAAAGTTAGAGTGTTAAGAATATAATATACTCAATCTTGATCTAAAACAAATATTAAATTTAAATTTGAACTATTACTTTTCCAATCCCATAATTTAAACAGTCCACTTTTGTGATGAGTGACTAAGCTTGTGTCATCGTTACCAAGAGCAAAACAATTTATTGTATCCTCCTGTTGATTAGCTCCTACTTCACCCAATGACGATATCACAGAGCTTGTGTTCACAGACAATATTGAAATGGTGCTTCCTTTCTGGCAGAATAAATACTCTGCATCTGCACTCCACTGCAATGAAAAGATTGTTATGCATGCGACAAAATAGATAAATGCTTTCAGAAACCTACTTGTACATCGCCACTGGTATAAAATGCTCCATGCTTGCATTCCACTTCAAATCTGTAATATATATAAATAAATAAATATGCATAACAATCATCAAATAGAACACACAGAAAAATTATAAAAAGAAAATTGAAATATATGTATACATATATTTTTATGATGCCCCGGAATAAAATAATACTTACGCTTCTTTAATACTCATTTTTGATGTTATTCAAAAATATGTATGCATGCACTAACAAGCACGTGTTGCATTCCGAACTCCCTCTAGAATAACAGCTGACTTGTAGCTGTATATTTCTCTTGAATGAACAATTGATCGAATATCGATATGAAGAATTTCCAGGGTTCCCCGACATTTTTTAGTAAGCCCTACAAATTCCCCATTCGTTAACCAATCAAATCATTCCACGCACGTGCATTGTGTACGACGCTTAATAGATTAGAGTAAATTGATATAAACGGGCACAAATTTATTTTGATCGTTGTCGAATGTAATCAAATGTAACCGTCGACTGCTACATTGCATTGCATGATATTTTAATAACATTCCAATAATTCCATGATTTTCCGGTTGACATTCCTTTTTTACCATAAGACACAATGCTCGTGAATAGTGCAATTTTATTTTATTTATTATTCGTATATTCTGCTTTCGGTGGCCCGGAAGAAGAACACGGAGTAAAATACGCCAACAAGTGTGAAGGTTTTTATTCTTTAGTTTGGTTCTTTTTTTAAAAAATGTAGAAGTAAATTGTAAATATTATATTGTGGACTTAATATTGAAAGATTATTTATAATTTCCTATTCAACACACAATTGCAAATAATAATAACGATTATATTAGTTGAAATTAACAATAATTTTGTTACACAGTATGCAAAGTTTTAGCTGTAGAACTCGAAGCTAGATTAGACGAAACCGGAAAAACACATGATGTATTAGAGATAGGATATTCAGTAGATGATATCGTACCAAAAAAGAAAAAAGATTACAAAAAATCGTAAGTATTTCATAATAAGTTAAGAGAATATATGAAAGATTATTCTGATAAAAAATTTATAAACTGCTTGTTTCTTTCTAGAGAGTTACGACTACTAGAAACTATGGAAAATGTTTGCGAGCGTATATTGGAATACAATATACATAAAGAACGTTCAGATAGCACAAGATTTGCAAAGGGAATGAGTCAAACGTTCACAACACTGCATGGTCTTGTGTAAGACACTTTAATATAGTATGATATTATGGAATAATTTGGAAATTAACAAATTGATGATTATAGGAATAAGGGAGTCAAAGTCGAATTGGGCATTCCCTACGAATTATGGGACAAGCCTTCTGTTGAAATAACGACTTTAAAAACACAGTGTGAAGATTTGCTGGAGAGTTATGAAGCTGACATCGAAGATTGGTATCATAATTATCAGGGAAAGATTCCTTTAATTAGGTAATATCCTCTATTTGATATATTTATTTTAATAATAAAAAATATTTACATAATTAGTATTAATACTGTTTGTTGTTTACTCAGATATTTATGTTCTGATCGTGCACTGAAAGAACAAAATGATTCTTGCCTGTACGAGAAAGGGGACACTGGGAAGGATCTCAGAAAACAGGAAAAAAAGAAAAAAAAGGAATCAAGTAATAAAGAAATTAAGAACGATAAGCATCAAGAAACGAAAGAGGAATTGTAAAACTACAGAAATAAACTGCCTCGACAAATACTTTCACGTAGATATCTTATTAGTAGACTGAAGATAATGTGATTCTATATCGAGAAATGTGGTATATAACAGACTGCAATATTACATAAAAGATAATTTCTGTAAATATTAATATAGAACCGCTTTTACTTAAATATATATATGTGCCATATATATTTATTGTATCGTTAGAAATTTTTTATAATAAATTTCTTTTATATTTCTCCTAAAAAACTCGCTTATATGACAGTGTGAATGCTAATTTAATGTCTGTATATATATTCAAATATTTTTAAATAAGTTAATGTCTGTATATATATTAAAATATTTTTAAAAATATTGTTTTTTTAATATCAATGTACTAAGAGGAATATGTACAACTTTTGGGGACAAAAGAGCCATAAAAAGGCAATATTAATCATAACTTAACTTAATTGTATAATATATTATTTATAAATAAAATACATACTTTATAGCACAAGCTTGTTATTTCATTTTAAGATGAATTATCTTTATTTCTAAACCGAGGTGATATCCATCTCGGTTTACCACGAAGCTCTCTCAAGCGTTGGTATTCCTCTTTGAAATCTTTATGCTCGTCTCTGAAGAGACCGTAATTGCGTAGATGGGTCATCAATTGTTCTGTCTGCTCGTATCTTGGATAATATTGCACGATCTCCGGTCGTTTATTCACCGGTTTCTCGCTGAAGAGCTGCACGACTTTCATCGATTTTTGTTTAGTCGGTTTGACCACTTCTCCGAAAATTCGATTACTCAGGCGATTCATACGCATGGCATAATTAGTACTCACATTTGCCAAATTCACGTATTTATTCATCTTTCAATTCGCTCGAGATCGAATAGTGGCAATATTAATCTTCCTTTTCTCCAAATCTACGAGAATGGTTAATAAGGTTAGGATTTATACACAGGTTAGAATGAGCTTTATAAAGTTCAAAACGCGAATGACAAAGCTTAGTTACGAAAGAAAACAATATCCTTAATTGTCTATCTTACTTTTTGTATTCCATAAATTTGCAGACAATTGTTATCCTAAGCCTCGAATAAAGGACAAGAAAAATATCATCCATGCGATATGACAACTCGTTAAAGAGCGAGAGCGAGAGTCGAGAGTGAGAGCGAGACCGAGAGCGAGAGAGAGGGAGCGAGAGCGAGAACGAGAGCGAGAGCGAGAACGAGAGCGAGAACGAAAGCGAGAACGAAAGCGAGACCGAGAGCGAGAGAACGAGAGAGAGAGAGAGAGAGAACTACGTATGTCGTATGTACACATATCAACGCGTATGTAGAAAACGATACATTGTAATGGAATGCTTAAGAGGTAAACAAACAGAGAAGAAAACTAAAAACATATCTAACTTTCTCAAAAATTCCACACACCTGTTTTTACGACCTACAGCGCGTTGTTGTTGACATAGCAGTCACCTTGTCATCATTCGCGCGGCGAGATTCGAGCGGGGAGGTAGCAGCGCAACCTGCTCCTCGTTCGAAACGTCACACGGTATCGTTAAAAATACGATCGTTTCGTGTTACTATTAGCGCATAATATATATTTAAAGTATTGTTATTATAAATATGCTCGAAGTCGTAAACATATCGCGCTTTGAATTTTTCGGCTATTTAAGTGTATTAGCATGTCCGGAATTTTTGTCATTTTTATTTCATGTCCGAATAAGATTGAGAGCGCGGAGTAATATACGGATCGTCGAATGATTAAAGTAATGATATGATGTATTTGTTTATTAATACATAATACGTGTATTTTACGGAAATTTCGTAGTAGAAAACTATTCTTTTCATACAATATGTGTTCTACACATATATACAAAATTTGATTATTGAATGGTCCATCGCACTTTAACTATAGTCGTTGACTCGACTCACGTAGTATCGCGTGGAGTTGAAGTGAAGTTGCCGATGTTTCGTTTTTCAATCTTTCGGTCGTTAACGAAATATTACGAATCGACTCCGGATCGACAGGTGTTGCGACGTGTTTAATTAGTAAGTAAGATTGTATTTAATCGCGTATTTCTATATTTATTGATAACAGAAGTAGTACTCTGTGTCGTGATGAGTAATTCGTGAATTTATTCGCGCAAAATATGTTTGACTAATAGCGGATTGTATCTTTCGCGTGCGAGTCTTTGCATTGTACACTCATTAAAAATAATAAAACGCATGTTGAGAGAGTGCGACTGTCTATTCTGATAATTATCACGTGCGCGATTGTAATTAATCAGGCTTTCGCGAGTGAGTCAGTCATAGATATACATACATTATATATTAGAGTCAGTGTAAGTGTTGTGTCAGTGCCAAAAGAGAGCAACAAAGGACAAAGAAACAAAGAGAGGAGGAGGAGGCTCGGGGAGGCAGCAAGTAACGGCGGAGCAACCCTTAAGTAAGTAGTCTGTAATTAATTTAATATTTGTTATGATTGCAATTAATAGTTTGCGATAATAATTTTATATTATTGTGAAATATAATGCATGTAAAATACTCTTCATGTACAGAGATTTTATTTTATTTTTTTTAATATTTAAGACATTTAAGAAAATATTTACAATAATATTAATATTTTTATAAAATATTTTAATATTGTATTTAAAAAAATCAATACATATAATT